TTTTCAATATTCATAGAAAAGATAAGTCAAACGAGCCTTCCAAAAAAGTATTGTAAAATAATATAAAAAATTTTTTTATCAATTGTGTAACAATTTTATGACGTTCAACGTTTCCTCCTGTTGTTAGGAATACTAATACTAATACTAATTAATATTAATATTAATCAAACATAGTTAGGGTCATATATGATGATAATTTAAGTTCGGATTTTTTATATAGGCATATAACTAGATCTACATGCAAGTGTATTATTAATCGAATTTAGTGAACTATAAATTTAAAAGCCCGATATGTATTCTTGTTATAACATACATTTATTATTAAACCATTAAATCAAATCATTTAGCTAATCTACATATTTTGAAGCTAATAATAAATCAAATCATATACTGTTTTTTTTTAATTTGAAGCTTTAATGTTGCTTTATACTGAAATAGAGCCTTTTTTTTAAAAGTTTTTAATTAAAATTTAAAAAATAAATATCAAAAATTTCATAAATTTAATTAATATCTTAATAATTTGTTAAGAATTTTTAAAAAATGGCACTATTTTAATGTAATACAAGATTAAAGCTTTATATTAAAAAAATTTTATTTAATTTGATTTGTTATTTAAGTTAATAAATGTAATTTAATCTAATAAGTAAATGATTAAATTATTTACCAGTAAAAAATCCGAACTTAGTGATCATCATATATGACCCTAATTATGTTTTAATTAATTAGTCGATTGAACACCCTAACGATACGTATAACCTCTAAGTATGTACTAGTATTGCTTGGTTTAAAATTGGTGGAGTGTTGCAGGTCCGGGTCTTGTATATAGCAATTTACGGAGCCATAATATTTACTTCACGATTTACTAATTTCATTTCAAAATATTATGAAATTTCATATATCGAGAGCACTTAATCTAAAATATATTACATTGTGTATTTAATTTTAACTACAATAATATTAACGTATTTTGTAATTCACATCTTTTTTTTATTTTCCAAGTATTTGTTTACTATAAGACACTGGGGGTGGCTAATCATCTAATACCAATAGAATCAGGTCTTGTTTTTGTATAATGGCAGATTTTTTTGATCAAAGATTATCAATTTTTATAATAAGAGAATAGTAAAGTATTATCCATCATATTTCGCTTAATAATAATTTTCTTTTCTAACTTAAAGCCTTTCAATGTTTATTACCTTCATAACAATTTTACATTTTCAAATTTATATATCGTCTTAAAATTTTCAATTTAAATATATTCTAAAATTGATATAATTAAATTATTTTTTAGCTGAAAATTTTAATATACGTAAAATTTGAAAACGTAAAGTTGTTAAGAATGTGATAAAGATTGAAATATTTTAAAAATTGGAAGAAAAATAATTATTAAGCAAAATATATTTTCATTACTTTTTTATTATAAAAATTTTGTATAGTAACAGTAATAAAAAAATCTATTGTTATACAAAAACAAATGCAATTAAATGTCATGTGTGTTACGGTTAACAACGTAATTAATTATAGTGCTTTTCAAATTACTGTGTCCACTGATTTTCATACATCACACTGGAAATCAGAAATCAGAAATCTAGAATAAATGCAAATCTGTGATTGGTTAAAAATAATTTTAGCCAATCACGTATTGGTATTTATTCTAGATTTCTGATTTTCAGCGTGATGTATGAAAATCAGTGGACACAGTAATTTAAAAGCGCGATAATATAACTGATAACGGATGACCGAAAATGCAGTAATTAGTGAATGATGCAAAATGTAATAATTAAGCAATGCGATCATAGTAATAATTGCATAACAATGAAGTAATGGTTAATTAGCATTGGTATATAAATAGAAATATAAAAGAAAAAGAGAAATAGAAGAAGTTTCTTGCTCAATTAATAGTTAATAAAGTAATGCCCATTGCTTATCCTATTTCATCGTTTACCTTATCCTTAATAAACAATAAAGCAAAGTTCATTTTCTATAACCCTAAACCAGATATTCAGTATAATTGTGATACTAAACATATTCTTGATTCTATTAGGTGATTAATAATCTTAATGGATGTACTCAACAGTTGGTATTATTGAACTGGGGGTTTCAAAGTTAAGGTATTTTGAAAATAAGTAGGAATTTTCAAATTCCTATTTTTGTTTTGAATTTCGAAATCAGAAAATGAAAAAGGAGTCATCCGAAAATAAAATAACCAAACTTTTTTCAAAATCAGAAACCTGAACCTTAAAACACCCTACTATTGGAATCTGGACCAATCCAATTCAGAGTTGGCATCGAAACGAAACTTACCTGAAACTAGTTTTAGATTTTTCAAAAAAATCAAAACTCTGAAATCCAAAACCCGAAACTCAAAAATATAATATGGAAGCTTTTAAAATTTATTATAAAGCTTATTCATTTTTAATGAAAAGAACCTAAAATGTAAAATTATTTTTGAATAAATTATAAGATAATTTTAATTATGTTTTTGGCAATTTTATTTTCTCTGCCTCGTTTCATTCGGCCTCTTTTTAAAGCTGGTCAACGATATTTTTAATATCGTACCGTCATTACCAGTGTTGGAAATCTGTTTCGAGATTTATGTTTTAATGAGAAGAAATTTAGTTAATTCAATATTCTCAGAAAATTATTTCTTCAATAATAAAATTTATTTATATCACTACTTTTTAAATTTCTTATTTTGGAAAATATCGGTCATTTATTCAAATTTTTGTCCCAACCCTTCTCCTAATTTTATATTTTCACCTGGCATTATGCTATTATATTTATATAATACTTATATAGAGAACATATTTTTCGATTATTATGTTCTCAAATTTTTTTTCATAGAGAACATTTACAGAATATCAAATGTTCTCAATCTAAAAGTATGTTCTCGTAAGAACATGAGAACATAAGATTTCCAACACTGGTATCAGGGCAATAGAAAAAACTGCCAATGAACGAATCGATAAGTATGTTGAATGCCGATTATTTATTTAATTCTGTGGTAAGTTATAAATTTAATCATTAGTAGATATGGACTTACTATAACTTATTATTACTTAATATTGCATCCAATTTTTACGTAGTAAGTAAAAAAACTGATGCTTGCAAAGCAACCTTGATTGTCAGGATATAAATTCCGGAATATGTCTTTCATGTTGTACTTGTGAATTATATTAACGAAAAGAACTGCACGCATTCAATATACTTGTTGGATGCATTTCAGCCTATGAAAATCACTGAACACAGTAATTGGAAAATTTTATTAATGACAAGATGTGAAATTATTTTATGAATTGAGAGATATATCACATACATCAGTGTTATTGACGTTTATTGAAGAGATATATCGCATACATCAGTGCATTTGAAAGAGACATATAATACACCAATGCAATCACTGTATATGGAGGTTTGGGTAGTTTTTGGTTTTCAGGTGAGGTTTCGGGTGAGGTTTTGAGTTTCGGATAAGGTTCAGAAGTTATAATCGAAACCCGAAACTTTCGGAGTTGGCAAAAAAGGTTTCGGCTCCAACTCTGATCCAATTCTAATATATTGTATATCTGATTTATTAATAACTTCTTAAATTTTTTATTTCGAACTCATTTTCTATTAACCAATCAGATTTCCTCAATTAGTCAATTAGGATATAATGAACCCTGGTCCAAATTTTTATTAAAATATTTTTTGAACTAATCCAAAAATTTTAATTACGATTGGATAAATATTCCAATACATCCAAAACTAGAACCAAAATTTTGTATACATTTTTTTTGTGCAGATATTATACAGAATAAATTATTTTTGTAAGTAGTGCAGCACAGTTGCAAACGGTTTATTATAGTATATTTTTAGTGGTCGCACATAAAAAGAGGTATTTTCGCGGTAAATTCAATTGAAAATTTAAATTCATTGATTTCGAAGATATTATTATTCAGTTTGAATTATGATTAATTTATTTAATTCGTGAATAAATAGTAACTTAGCAATTTTACATATTTAATTTCGAAGATGTTGATACAAATTTAAAGGCAATGTTTTTTAATGATATTACATATTTATTTTCATTTTGTAAATATTAATTACTAAGTTAATACATATTTTCGAAGATATAAATTATTGTAGTTAATTCAAGAACAATTTATTTTAATATTAGCAACATCCCGTTTTTTAGACTGATTAGCTAGGATATAATGGGATTACAAATTCTTTCACTCATATTGATGATATATTCTCAAATTTATGCTTAGCAATTTCCATTAATTCTGCAAATTCACCGCTACTTTTACACATTTTTCTAAACACCCCATCAGACTTCTGCATCAGGAGATATGGAATATCGAATTCAATTACATTTCCAGAATCTAATTTTGGAATGAACAAATTAATATTTCAAGTTTATTAAAATTTTCTTAGAAAAAATACACACCCATGACCAGAATTCTATCATAGTCTGCAACAGTTCGCAACCTATGCGCAATAGTGATAACAGTATGATCCTTAAACTCTTCCCTAATTGTTGCCTGTATTAGATGATCAGTTTTGAAATCTATACTGGCAGTAGCTTCGTCTATTATTATCAATTTGGAATGACGAACTAGTGCTCTGGCTATTTCAATAAGTTGTTTTTGACCTTGGGAAAAATTTAATCCATTTTCTTTGACAGGTGAGTCAAGCATTAATGGTTTATGATTTTCATTTTTTTGTTCTGAAACAGAAAGATTGGCTTCAGAATTTTTTTTTTCAAAAGTATAGCTGGAATTTTCAATTAAGTGTACACGACAAAGCGCATCCCATAACTCAAGATCACTATGCTTGTTGAATGGATCCAAGTTGCTTCTATTTTAGTTTTTTTATAATTAGTTTACAGAACAGAAAGGATTTAATAATAAGTATGTAGAGTTGAGATTTTTGCTTACCTTATAGTACCATTAAATAGTACAGGATCTTGAGGTATGATAGTAATATTACTTCTAAGGTCTTGTAATCCAATAGTGCTAATATCAATATTGTCAATTATAATATTTCCAGAAGTTGCCTCAATGAGTCTAAAGAATGAGTTTGCTAATGTTGATTTTCCACATCCTATTATTTAAAAGAATTCAATATTGTATTTTAATAATTCTTAAACTGAGACCTAAAATTTACCGGTTCGACCAACAATTCCAATCTTTTCAGCAGCCATAATATCAATTGAGATGCCTTTCAATACTAGAGGACTATCAAGTCTATATTTAATTTCCAAATTTTTAATGTGAATTTCTCCACAAGTTGGCCATTCAGATGATGGTCTGTTGTCTGGTATTATATTCTTGGCTTCTACTTCCAAATTTTCACTATAGTGAATTAAGCGTTCCACTGAGTTCATATTTGTTTCCTATTATTTTACATGAAAAAAATTAGTGATTTTAAAATATATATTAAAATAAATGTTAAAATTTTTTTGGGGAGCATTTTTTTAGTCTTCATATAATAGTTTGAGTAAAGTGTATTGATAGGCTTTAGTAGGTTTTATAGTTCTAAATAAAGACTCCAAATTTTCAACATCAGCTGTGACATAAAATATTATTATTTACTTACTAATTTAGCAAATGCTTTAATACACCAACAAAAGACTATAATAACTTGAAGTGCATAAGCCATTACTAATCCAGTCATTGAAGGTAAAACGCTAAATCTAAAAATAATTCCAAACAAACTTGCAAAAAATAATAAGACATTTGTAATAGCTTCAAGACGCACTGAAAGCCATTGTTGAGCACATATCATGAGAAAGTATGCTCTATTTTCGATATCTAAGAATGCTTCATTATTTCTATTTTATTTATATTTAAATGAAAAGAAAAGATTATTAAGGAGATTGCATCGAAACTAATTAAGCATCAAATTTATAAACCTCAAAAATCTTTCTTGTTCACGATAAGCACGAATAATTGGCAGCCCCAAAAGTGTCTCAGAAAAATGGGCATATAATGAAGATCTTAATACTGAATCAAGTCCTGTAATAAAAAAAATAGCAGTAAAAATTTTTTAAAATGTGTAAATATGTAATTAATTATTAGCCAATGATAATAAAAATTAATTACGCTTTAATTCACGATTAGATGCCCGATAATAAAGAGCCACTAAATAGTAAAGTATAATCAAAGGAACCAATGGGATAATAAACCACACATACACTACTACAATTAGTATAAAGGTTCCAATAATGTTCAAAATGCTTAGAAAAAACATTCGAAATGATTCAGAAAGTAAATTATCACATGTGTCAACATCTTTACTGAATCTGGTATTAAAATAAATTTTAATTAGAAAATATTAAAAATAAGATATTTAACAATAAGTTAGACATGACAATAACCGATTAATAATTCTTCCTAGTGGAGTGGTATCAAAAAAACTAGTTGGTGCTTTTAATATACGTTTAATTGCATTATCATGCAATCTCCTAGCAGCTTTAACACCACCATATGAAATTAAGATACCACACAAAACATAAAAAATTCCTTCAGTGGCTCCCCATGCACAATAAATACCTATCTATTAATGCAAATTAGCATTTAAATTATATAAAGAAATTAGCTATATAAGTTATACCATAATTTGAGATTTCTATAAAGTTTAAAGATATTTACATAAAGTTCTTTTGGAAGGTTAAATGTGTTGTTGGACCAGAACATAAGCCATATATTAGTTCTAAGAATAAAAGGAGTTATGGATTTAGCGATTTTCTTGATTATTATAACAGAAATTTAAAATAGTATTAAAGTATTAATGTATTAAATACATACCCAATATTTGCTACTTGTGCCATAATAAGCAATAAAATAATAGTGAGTATCAATAAAAATCCACCCGCATTCCTAAAATATGCCAAATATATTTCATTATTCACTGCCCCTCTGTACTGTTCTTCTTTTGACATTAATCCTTTATATAAAATAAATGTATGATTTTTATTTTCTTTTTCATCCAATGTTGATTCTTTGTCTTTTTTTACTTCACTGTTTTTGGCTTCACCATATTCAGCAATCAATTTCGAAAAGGTTTTCCCATCATTCATTAATTCCTCATAAGTTCCTTGTTCAGCAATTTTACCATCTTCCATATATATTATGTAGTCGACTTGTGGTAGATAATGTAAATGATGTGTAACAAGTAAACGTGTTTTTTTGGCAAGTGCTCCTTTAATACAGTTTGTGAATATGTACTTTCCAACATATGCGTCAACTGCTGATAGTGGATCATCTAATAACACAATATCAGCATTGTAATACACAGCTCTTGCAATGCTAACACGTTGTTTTTGTCTAAAGAAACAAAATCGAAATTTTTTTAAAAAAATTTATATTTTGTCAATATATATAATTAATATAATAACATACCCTCCAGATAAATTAATCCCTCTCTCTCCAATTTCAGTTAAGTCAGCAGCAGGTAACACTTCTAAATCTGGTTCTAGACAACAATCTTTAATCACTTTTTGATACCTTTCTTCATCAAAAGGTAATCCAAAAGTAATATTGTCTCTAAGTGTAGCATTTTGTATCCACGCAGTTTGAGGACAGTACCCAACATTTCCGCCAAATGAAACATCTCCTTTAATTCTTTTCATTTCACCAACCAGAGCTGACAATAATGAAGATTTACCAGATCCTACAGAACCAACAATGGCAATTAACTTTCCACGAGGTATTTTAATATTAATGTTACAAAGTTGAGATCTTGGTGAAAGTAGATGAGAATTTTCATGAGTTTTAGTCAAATCATCAGGAGTAAAAGCTGTAAATATGTCTGAAGACTTTTCATTAATAATACTTGAAAAATCATTTTTATTCTCATTTTTTTCATAATTTTTTGACTTTTTTTCTTTATTCCTTTTTTTTTTTGGTTTAGCAATAATTTCTTCTGGTGAAGCACTTTCCCAAATAAATTCTCCATCAGTAACTTTGATGGCATATTGTTCGTCCGGATTGATTACTGGTAAACCAGATAACTCATCAGCCTGCAAAAATTCACTTATCCGATTAATTGCTACATAGGCATCAGCAATAGAAGCTATAACAAGTGGCAAGCGCAATAAAGGAATTTTGAGAGAACTGAATAATGCCAGAGAAGAGAATACGATTCCAGCGTCGAGGCTGCCTCCTGTCAATGAAAATGTTACAAATGATAAAATACAAGCAAATACTGGAACAACCTATAAAAAAATCAAGCACAATTAAAAGAAGCAAATATATAATCAAATTTAGTTACTGTAAATATAAGAAAGTTACCATCGAAACACCAGAAATAACAGATCTAATAACTAACAAAGACCTAACCAAACCAAGCTCTTTATTTCTTAATTTATTAAGAGCATCTGCAAAACTATCTTCCCAAGCGTAACATTTAATTTCTTTAATCCCCAATAAAATCTCTTGAGTTAGCTTTACTCGTTCATCAGTAACACTAGCAGCTTTAGCCCTGGTACGTGCCAAAAATGACATAACTATTCCTTGCATAGGACCCATTAACACTAGTAAAGCAAATCCAACTAGTGCAGATAGACCAATATTAACTATTAACAGACCCAATGCTATACAAATTTGAATAGGAGAACTCCAAATCACGTGAAAGTAACTGCATACATAGTCTATACGCGTAGTATCAGTTGACATTAAATTAGTGATCTTTCCATTAGTAAATAAACTTTTAGCTTTTCCACTTAAGACAAAGACTTTCCGATAGATAGCAGTTATAAGAATAGTGCGAGAGAGTAAACCAGTTTCCGATCCACAATAAAGGCTAAAGGCGAACAAAACATCATCACTCATTTTCATTAAGAACAAGACAACGATTAGTACGTAGCCAATATATGCAGCTGGTTGCACACTGTTATTTAAGTTAGCAAAGTATGCTTCAGAAACAAAGTTTAATATTAACTACAATGTCGAGAATATTAGAGATAAATTAATTTTTTGAGACGCGTTATAACTAATCACAGAAAATGCAAGTATACGTATGTACATGAAAAATTGGTGTGTTCGAAGTACTATGTAAATCAAAACTATATGGTCATGTAGTAAGTTTATTAATAAAATTTTTTAGATAGCGAAGTTATTTTAAATATAATAATTATTTAAATTTTAAAAAGATGCACAGCCCTAACGGTTCGATAGTTTCGGACAGAGACCAACGTTATGTCTTTACAAACAAAGATATGTAGCCATTTCTTTAAAATTAAATCTTTTCTTCTTGCCATATAGATTAAAAATTTTTCATGTTTTAAAAAAAGAAATTGCTCTATAGTTCTTCTTGTAGAGACATAATTATTATATATATTTAAAATTACCGCTATCGAAAAAAATTCATTAATAAATTTTTATTATAGACTACATATAGTTTTGATTTAAAATAGTATATCGAACGGGATCCCATCAATTCACCGACAATCACTTCGTAGACACCATATTTCACTGACAATTACTTACCGACAAGTTCATTTCACCGACAGTTTATTTCACCGAAGCTCATTTTACAGACAAAGTAATTCTGGTCAATATCATTAGAGTTAGGTTAGAACTAGACTTAAAGTTAGTGTAATTTATAAAAAAAATCCTGTCGGTGAAATGAGTTTCGGTGGAATAGACTGTCGGTAAAATGAACTTGTCGATGAATAATTGTCTGTGAAATGTGGTGAAACAATACGGACCCATATCGAACACCCCAATGAAACATGCCTTTAAGATCAAAGGCGCAACAATAATTAACGTATCACTAGCAAATTTACAAACACCCGACAAGCAAAATTTAACCCACAAAACCCTAAATAGAGCTTTTAATAAAGATGGTTTCTTTCCTATCGCAAGTTTTTGAATTTCTTTTTGCCATTCGATTTCAAATTTGTCTGTAATAATTTTAGCACATCTATTTTCATTTAAAACGTAGAGATCATCTTTTTCCAAAGGACGTTTATAACCTAAGCTCATTAAATCGTTAACCCACCAACAAATAATCAAAGAAAAAAATTTTGCTTTTGTCTCGGGGATTTCAATGTTTGGACGGGAAGGAGAATTTGATTCCTCAAATACCATTATCTTAATTCAACTGATAAGAAATTTTAAATAATTATTAAATTAAAAAATTCTTTTAAAGATTTACTATAGTCGAATATACTTGTATGATGGGTGGCGCAAAGTGCTATTTTTGTTTTTTAGTTTATATTTTGTCTGTTTTTTTATATTTGTTTTTTAGCAGAGCCACAGATAATTTCTCATCTGGAAATTTATATAATATTTATAAAGGTCTATTGTATTACTTATTCTTTTACCTGTTATGCTACGTATTAAACAAATATATATTTCTCTACTATTCTTTTATTTGTTATTCTATGTGTTAAATCAACTGCTTGTATGTGCAGAATTTTATTATTAACTATAGAATGCGTATGCTGGCGGCTTCACCGCCTATTTTAGCTAACAATTAGATATAAAAGATAATGAGGTAATAACATGATGTTATCAATTATTGATGGTTTGATGTTTTTTACTTTAATAAGCATAATAAGATCAAGATTTTAAATTTATATTATTTTTAATAAATATAAAGGAACACAGTACTTAACATATAAGACTAGTTTTAATTATAAATAGAAAAGTGCATAGATGGCAACTTTATATGACTATTGCTCAAATTCATATTATATTGTTACTGAAGTTAAATTTTATATAATTGCATTGATTAGTAAGAGATAATAGGTCATAATATTTGAAGTTTAAAGTTTTTTTTTATTATATCTGTTAAATCGAATTAGTATATTTCTTCGTAAATAAGGTGCTTATTTTCGAGTATGACTCAGCTAATAATTTATTATTTCTATTATGTAAGAGATGCCTATTTTTGGGTATATATGAATTGTAGGGATGCTTATCTTCGGAGGAATATGTATTTAAAATAGAGTATAAATTTATTTAGCATGCAAAAATATGCTAATATTTAGGTATTTGCTTTTAAAGATCACATGGATGTATTTATTTAATATGCATTTGTATGATTAGATATACTTGATTGTGTTATTGTGAGTTTTTGCTTTTATAAGATACGTAATACAAGTAAAGAATTGCTTTTATGTTAGTTTTTGCTGGTATGGTTAATTGATAGTTATTAGTAATTAAAGACTATTATCATTGTTTGATCGGATGACTTTAATACAATGAAGGGGAACATACATCAGCTCTATAGTTAGGAATTACTAACAAATACCAAAATATAATATGGGGTCTTTGCCTTGAAAATGACCTTACGGTACATGATACCGTAAGGTCATTTTCAAGACAAAGACCCCATATTATTTGTCAAAGTTACCGTAAATATTTTATCTTTATTTTATTATCTTATAGTCTATACGCAGAGAAGTAAGATAATTAAATGTTTGTCAACTATGCTGCTAAACTTAAAGAAATAGTAACTTATCCCCTAATTTCTGCATCAATTCATTGCATATTTTGAGCTATTCGCATTTACAGTCAAATTCTGTGATTCTGTCCATGAAATAAAAATATCATGTCCATGCTTTAGACTTTCAATTTAATTTTTCGATTAGGTTGTCTGGGATTGTGGATTATATTAGCCAGAAGTCCCACTCACGATACAGCTAGTATGTTTATAAATTTAAATTTAACACAGTATATTATTAATTATAATTACTGTAACAAACTATTACGCATAATTTATTGATTTTTGGGCCTTTAAACAATTCACGTACGCTGAGAAGGGTAAAATTAATCCGGAAACTGGAAAATTCGGGTAGTACGAGTCTCAAACTATACTAACTAATCGAAATAACACACTAAACGACTAATTTCTATCAAACCCTAATGGTGGAAGGCACGAAAGAGGCGTGGAAGACTTGGTCCGAGTTATTAGGGCCAAATAGAGCTCTATACGATGTCACGAAGCTCTTATTCAGGAATCACGGGTCTAGACTATTAGTTCTATGCGAATTACTTTAATCGAAATACTTAACTCTAATCGAGTTCCCCTCCAACTCTCTGTCTGACTGACTGAGTTGTTCTTTATTTCAAATTGCCGCTTTTATACTTTTTACATTACTGCGTCTTTGGGTAGTCTGACACATGAGGCTATCCTAAATGACATGATTTGGTACAAAAGGCAAGCTATGGTACCGGGAGGTACCAAATTTACAGTCAAGAAGACGTAATGTCCTAATAATATGGTACGAAATGAGCTAATAGTACCTAAATATCGTAATGTCTAAATTTAGAAAGGGTATTTTCTATTTCTGGGCTAAATTCGATCTGAGCCACCTCAGCATCGTAATATATAATAAAATAGGCCAATCTTCTATCTAAATATATAAATCCAACCTATTATTTACATAAAATAGGTTTCAAGCTACAATTTACCCCATCACAACGCACGTACGTACGTACGCACCTCCTTCCGTTCCTCCAATTACATTGTTCAACCACCTTATTTAGAAATTGATATCACATCACTAGATAAGAAGTTGTCAGTTCGCAAATATTTTAACTAGTGGCTTTAAATAATAAGCCATCCAGCTCATAAATATTTACAGTAGTTCGGATTTTTTTTTTAAGTATAAAGCTGAAAATTAGCGATCTCAATTTGAAAAGATAAATTATGCTATCTTTTATTATATACATAAACTAACCCTAAATTCGAACTTTAGCTATAAATTCAGTTTCAATCGTGACAAAATTTAGTTTTTTTTTTTTTTTTTACAATATACTGTAGATTATGTTTTTTTTTTAGTCAAGTACTATAGCTAGTTTAATGTTTATTTTGTTTTGTTTATTTTGTTTAAATATTACACAGTTATAACATTTATAGAATATAAAAAGATATTTTAAAGGTACAATATTTTAAATCCTTTTAATCTTTTATGTTCAATTAAGAACGATTATAAATATATATATATATTTAACGAAATTATTTTATATTTGTACGGGTTAACCGAATTAGCCAGTTAATAGTTAATATTAATATTAACCGAATTAGCCAGTTAACCGAATTAGTCGGGTCAACCGAATTAGTCGGGTTAATCGGGTCAATCGATTATACTATACATATCACTAAGCCACAAAAATTGATGTCGGGTCAACCGATTATACTATACATCAGTGTTGTTTACTGGAAGCTGGAACCTCATTGGACGTCCGGATATTTCCAGTGTTCCAGTAGTTTCACCGGAAGAGATTATTTCACTGGAACCGATATAATAAGATTACGAGTAAAAATTAAGGTTATTATAAACACGTGATATGCTTGATGTCCAATCATTTGCAAGAATACTTTTCATTTTACTATTACATGTACCTCGAAAATAGGGAATTTTACTGGTAAAGCAAACAACTGTGACTTATATCCATAATCACCACAAATTTTTTATTTAACTAATATTAAAATTAAAGCAAGTAAAATTAAATCCTTACAATAAAATTATACAAAATATAATTTCGGTATCGTATTTTATTTCATTTAATTTCAAAATGTCGATCATTTCATTTCAAACACTAAATCGAAATAATGTAAAATGGTCTCGATTTAGGACTTGAAATGAAATAATTATATGTGAAATCATTCAATAGGGTGACTCAGAACTGATTTCGAATTAAATTAGTGATGTATTTATTTCGAAATTAGTGATTAACTAGCTCCGCGCGTGTCACTACGTGCCACATTTTAATTTAATTATTACTTAACTAATATAAAATGTTATCGCACAAACTCTTATGATTATAAATTTTTTCTTCTTGTTATTTTTTGTATGTTCTTACACAAACATAACATTAACATAATTGCACAATAACATCAATATTGGATCATGCGATGATAAATGTCAAAATTTGTTCTACCAGAACAAATGGTTGGCTGAAATGTGCCGCGCAGCGGCACATGCCAGCCAACCATTTTCTCCGACAAACCAAATTTGATGATATTAATCGTTATATAAATGGATCTTAATATTGTAACCATCGTAAGACAGAGCTTGGTATTGTCATGCCAAGTTTAACTCCGATGGTTGACGTTAAAGGGTCATAAATTTGGCAATAAATTAGATATCCGGATATTTACGATTTATTAGGCATTTATTATAAAAAGAATTTTAAGTTATGTTATCTTTATTTAGAAGAGGAATTTTGAGCAAGCACTTATATACATGAATACTTTTTAGAGTGTGATCATAAAGACTACAGCGTACTCGCGGTAGATTCCGCGTATTCGTGGCAATCCACATATTCGCGGTTGCATGAAGTAAGCCTCCAACAATAAATTACAATGTCTAATACTACTAAGGTAAGATTAACATGGCTATTATAGTACAATTAAAGAATTAGACAAATACGGAAGTGAGAAGACCAGGAAAAATCAATCGTTACAATATATAGAATTAGAATTAACATAAGTTAATCCCGAATCTACTTAAGTATGATCTTGATTGTATTAATTAAGCTGTTTAAGCATGAAAAATTACATCATTATAGTAAAACAACGAATAATTTTTAATATATAAAAAATATCGATCATGTGAGCTTATATAATGCAATGTGATTGGTAATTTCAGTGTTCGCTGAAATAGAGGGCTCTGATTGGCTGATGTTGACGGACAGACATTCCACTTTAATATATAGATAAATCTTATTTATTTTAATTTGTAAGCTTATTTATTATATAATAATAATAATAATAATTAATACTTCTATGATCGTGAATTTTCTTTTGAAACTTGATATCTTCACATATATATTTTAAAATGCCTTATATTTCGACAATTACATATTAAGGGCATAATAGTATTTAGTAACACTTATAAAAGTATATAATAATATTATTTAAGAATTTTAAATAAAAATTTCATGTCAATTTTATTCCTTTATTAATTTATTACGATAGTAACATATAATAGCAATAACAAAAAAAAAAAAGGGTCTCATTCGTCTCTGGATAACTCCTATTTCATTTTCTGCTTTCAAAATTTTAAAACAGGATTAGGACATTTTGACCCCACTTATTTTCAAAATAAGTTAATTATGAATCACCCTGATATCAA